TATTGAAATGAAAGTTCATATGTGAAGTAAGGGTCAGTTGTTCCACCTCAAGTTTCCGTCAAGACATATGCACTTGATCTTATAAGCTCCTATAGGTTCAGTTATCTCTTCTATATAGAGATGATTCCCAGATCTATATATCAAAGGTCTTTTCTTTCTCCTGGGCTCCAAGTCCACAATTCCAACTACCTATTGATCATTTCAAACTGGATATTCCATAGGCATCTCAAATTCAACATATCTAAAATAGAGGTTATCTTTTCCCTGAAAGTCTCCATTCTTCTTCCAAATTTCTCTATCTCTGTTGAGGGCACCACCATTTTCCTAAGTCATTCAGGTTCACAACCTCAATCTCATCCTCTTGTCCTCAATCTCATTTATTCCATATATTTAATTAGTTGCTAAATTTTATCTTTCCTATGATTACAACTTGTTGATCTTTAATATTCAGATTATGTATCTATTTTGATAACCTTCCTTTCCAAGATTATTTTCCCATCTGTGTCTCGCATTTCCTTAAATTTGACAAAGGTAGAATATTATAGTACTGTTAATTCTCATAAATTATACAATCCTAATACACCCCTAATACTGTATTAGGATTGCATTTGCTTTCGTGGCTGCCATATCACACTTCTGACTCATATTGACAAGGCAATTGATTAAAACCCCTAGATCTTTTTCAAAACAACTGCTGTCTATCCTTCTCCTATCTTGTACTTATAAAGACGATTTTTTAAATTCAAATGCAAGACTTTACATTTCTCTCTAATTTCATCTTATTTCACATTATACTTATAACACCTCTTTAAAATAGATTGTAAGAGTATTAATAATATCTCAGCTTGACCCTTCACAGAGCCAAGAGAGCCCTTCACAGCAGGTGAGAGCCTGCCTACCCTTACAGAACTATCTTCTTTTATATTATTTCTATTTATGTAGGAACTCTATATTCCAGCCAAACCAGTTCACTTGTTTGCTAATACTGAATCTCAGCTATCCTCCACCTCATGCTTAGAATGTTGTCTCCCCTTCTGAAAACTCTTAGAGTCCGTCAAGATTCATTTCATATACTACTTCCTACAGTAAGCCTTTTGGATGCTCCTTAAAGAGTTTTGTGTTCTTTCTCTCCTCAGATTTCCCATATTTCTTTGTCTAAGTGTTGTATCTTCCCCTCCCTCCAAGTAGAATGTAAGTTCCATGAGGGCAGGGTCTGTTTTTCCTTTTGTCTTCGTATCTCTGTGCCTAGCACAATGTGTTGTATGTAGTAGGTACTTAAACGCTTTTAAAATTGAATCTATGTGTTTTAGACAAGGAAACTGCAACTAACAGGGATTACTTGATTGGCCCAAAGCCACACAGCTGGTAAGTGGAAGGGCTGATCTATTTTTCCTTCTAGGGCACAACATTGCCTCTGCAGAGCCCCCCCCCCCCCCCCCCCCTGCCCAAAATAAATTGGCACTGATAGATCTCATTGATTAGGAACAAAAGGAAAAAAAGATATCAGTATCTTAAAAAAGTGATCTTACCTCCTTTACTGAGATTAATGCTATAGTCATTTAAGTTTACTTAAAACCCATCCTCTATACCTAAAAACTTTTGTTTTCAGTCATTCACTCCTTTTCTCTAGTTTCAAGAGGAAATACAGACATTCCTTACTAAGTGCTGATTTTGTCTTGATTCTCTTCTCTCTTTTCTCTAGTGCCTTGCTCTAGCTGTCATGACCACATGTATTTTCAGTTTTCTCCTCTCAATTAACTTCTTCCTCCTTGCCTATAAACCTATTTAGGTCTCCATGAGCCTTAAAAAACAAAAACAAAACAACCTTCCCAAGCCTACTATTATACTCTTAGACTATTGTCCTATATCTTCTACTACACTATGAAAAGAATATGATCTATGACCCTATATTTTCTACTTCTACTGCCTCATTACCTATCTTTTTTATAATAATATTTTCCTCAATTACAGGTAAAAACAATTTTTAATATTAATTTTTTTAAAGTTTTGAGTACCAAATTCTGAGATGGTAAGAATCTGGTATAAGTCATACATGGGCAATCATGTAAAACATTTCCATATTAGTCATTTTATGCAAGAAAGAAAGAGAGAGAGGGAGGGAAGGAGAGAGAGAGAGGAAGGAAGGAAGTTTGGGTCTATATTCAGACAACATGAGTTCTTTTTTCCGGAGGTGGATAGTATTTTTCATCATGAGTCCTTTGGGATTGTCTTGGATCATTATACTGCTGAGAATAGCTAAGTCATTTACAATTCTTCATCATACAATATTGCTGTTACTGTGTACAATGTTCTCTTGATTCTGCTCACTTCACTTTGTATCAGTTTAAGTCTTTCCAACGTTTTCTGAAATCATCCTGTTTGTCATTTCTTATAGCACAATAATATTCCTTTACACTCATATATCATAACTTGTTCAGCCATTCCCCAATTGATGGGCATCCCCTCAATGTCCAATTCTTAGCTACCTTAAAAGGAGCCTCTACAAATATTTTTGTACAAAATGGGTTCTTTTCCTTTTTTTCTATCTCTTTGGGATACAGACCTAGTAGCCTCACTCCCTATCTTAACCCCCTATGATCTGGCTTTTGTATCTAACGTAATCAAAACTGCTCTCTCCAAGCTTACTGTCTCTTTATTGCTAAATTCAGTTAATTTTTTTTTTTTGCTTTTTGGTGAGGCAGTCAGGGTTAAGTGACTTTCCCAAGGTCACACAGTAAATGTCAAGTATCTGATGTCAAATTTGAACTCAAGTCCTCCTGACTCCAGGGCCGGAGCTCCATCCACTGCACCACCCAGCTGCCCCCAGTTAACTTTTTCAGTTCTTATTCTCCTAAATCTTTATGTCAAACACTGACCTTTCCTCTAAGTTTCTCCCATGTTTTCAACTACCTACTGAGTATCTATCTCCTTGTGAATGCTTCTCAGTCCTCAAACTCAATGTATTTTGAATTGAACTCATCATAGGATTTTCCCCCAATATACTTTTATTTATTTCATTAAATATTTCTCAATTATATGTAAAAAAATTTTAACATTTGTTTTTTAAAATTTTGAGTTCCAAATTCTTCCGCTCCTATCCATCCTTCCTCCCTCCTTAAGAAGGCAAGCAATTTGATATAGATTATATATGTGAAATAATGCAAAACATATTTCCATATTAGCCATATTACAAAAGAAAAACAGACCAAAAAATGAAGAAAGTAAAAAAGTATGTTTCAATCTTCATTCATTAGTTTCCACCAGTTCTTTCTTTGGAGATGGATAGCATTTTCATCATAAGTCCTTCAGAACTGTCTTAGATCATTGCATTACTGAGAATAACTAAGTAATTCACAATTGATCATCCGTATAATTTTACTGTTACTGGGTAGAATGTTCTCCTAGTTCTGCTCACTTCTCTTTGCATCAGTTCACATAAGTCTTCCCAGATTTTTCTTAAACCATCCCGCTGACCATTTCTTATAGCACAGTAGTATTCCATCCCAATAATATACCCAAATTGTTCAGCCATTCCCCAGTTGATGGGCATCCCTTAAATTTCCAATTCTTTGCCACAATGAAAAGAGCTACTATAAATATTTTTTACAAATAAGTCCTTTTCAGGGCAGCTAGGTGGCGCAGTAGATAGAGCACCAGCCCTAGATTCAGGAGGACCTGAGTTCAAATCCAGCCTCAGACACATAACACTAGCTGTGTGACCCTGGGCAAGTCACTTAACCCCATTGCCTAGCAAAAACAAATAAGTCCTTTTCCCTTTTTTTAAAAAGAAAAATCTCTTTGGGATACAGTCATCATAGGATTTTGGAGCTGGAAGACATCTTAGAGATTATCTACTCCAATACTTTTCATTTTATAGAAGGGAAAACTGAGATCCAGAGTATTCTACCAAAACTCACTACTCTTCCTAACTTACCTATTTCTTTTGAAGGTGGCACCACTGTTCCAGTTACCTTGGTTGGGAATTTTAGAATCACCTTTGACTATTACCTTCCCTTGTCTCCCATATCCAGCCAGTTGCCAATTCCTTTTGGTTCAAAAACTTGAATTATCTCTAGCATCTGTCTCTCTCTCTCTCTCTCTCTCTCTCTCTCTCTCTCTCTCTCTCTCTCTCTCTCTCTCTCTCTCTCTCTCTCTCTCTCTCTCTCTCTTTTTTTCCATTTCCACAGCTACCAAACTAGTTTAAGTTTTTATTGCCTCTCACCTGGACCATTTAAATAACCTCTTAATTGCTCTTCTTGCCTCTAACTCCCCCTTCTCCAATCCCCTGCTATCAGAGAAATCTTAAAGCATAAAACATTCAGTGACCCTTTCCCCTCCCCGCCCCACCACCACCCGCAATTGCCTATAAGATAAAATTCAAACTCCTTATCCTGGCATTTAAGTCTATCTGGTTCCAACCAACCAGCATTTTCAGCTTTATTTCACATTAAATTAGAATTTACACCAGAGGCAGCTGGTGGTACAGTAGAATTAGGAAGACCTGAGATTGAATCCAGCCTTAAACACTTACTAGCTGTGTGGCCTTGGGACAGTCACCTAACCTCTTTCTCAAATGTAAAATGGGGATGATAATAATGGCACCAGGATTGCTGTGAGGATCAAATGAGATAATATTTATAAAAACACATAGCATAGTACCTGGCCAATAGTAGGAGCTATGTATGTTCCTTCCTCTAAGTTGGACTTTTGTTCTCTAGTATATTATTCCCATATCTCGATTTGTTTAAATCTGCAAAGTCATCCCTTGATTTCTCCAGCTAGAAGTGGTAGCTTCCTTCTTCATATCTTTTCATAACACTCTCAGGTCACTAGGCACTTATCATATTAGGACTTTTATTAGAGTAATTCATGTAAATGTCTTATTTCTTTCATCCTAGACTATAAAATCTCATCCCATCCTTGCATTAGAGAAGATGTCTTAGAACTTGGAACTCTACAATTCTGTTGCTGTTGATAAGGATTGCTATGGAAACAGAAATCCCATTCCATCAGGAGCTCCAGTGTCATAATAGGAAGAATGTATCAGTGAGCAGAGACTTTTTTAATCAGTCAGTGTTGGAGCTCTGCTCTGGAGGACATCTAGTGATGGCCACAGCTTCAGCAGGAGAAGCAAAAGAAGCTGATACACCTTGTACTCCCGATGCTAAAAAGGATGAACTGGAGAAATGGTGAGAAAACAAGGGAACTGTTAGAATTACATTGTCCCTGGACAGGATAAAGAGAAGATTGAAGCCCGAAATTAGGGAACAATTTGATTGGTCTCTCTGGGCATCTTATGCAGAAGGCATTTGTTCTAACTTCTGAAGTAGTATCAGAAAATATTCAAAGAATACCAAGAACTGATTATCCCAAGCTTTATGGATTATGCAGAAAATGGGCTAAGGCTTTTTTTTTGTAACAAGTTATTACTTCCTTTAGAGAGGAGGAGGAATTACCTTTAGGTAATTAAATTAAAGTTCTTTAAACTGTCTTTAGGGAATAAAGTGTGTGGGGTGGAATCTAGGACCCAGGGAAAATTACAAAATTCTTTTCCTTCTTTCACTGCTCCTCCCCCATGATTTTACCCCAAGAGATATTGGTTTAATGTTTAAAGTTGACACATCAAGGGCAACCTTCAAGGGGAAAAGATAATATTCAGCTAGAGTAGCCCAGACTCACCTAATAGCGGTGGAGTCGGGGCAAGTGACTGTTTCATTGCATCTACTCATAGTACACAAGAATTAGGTCTTTTTTCTTTTTCAAAGAAGCATCTAGAAGAGGCTCCTCATTTTCTTTAATGTGTCTTTCCCCTACCCCCCACCTGAGATTCTACAACACCAGGCAAGACAAAGTTCAGGCACTTGCCACCAGTTTCACTGAACCTTAGAGCTGACATTAAATTTCAGTGTATTCAGTTCTCTACATGTCCTTTCTTCTCAATCTCTCTTCTCCAGGCCCAACCAGATACACTTGCCAAGGTTTTCTTTAAAACAAGGACTAATTCCCAGGCATTACACGATGAGCTGGAAACTAGACATGAAATTCAGAAAAGTGCATCTAAAGGTATCAGGGCCAGAAATTTTATCCACAAATTTTATGTATGTGTGTGCATATGTATATGTGTGTGTATGTATGTATATGTGTATGTATATATATAATATACACATACATACATATACATATATATAGTTATAGTTACATCATTGTTATGTATTTAGTTTTATATATTCTAAGGATATTTATAGACAGAATTATTTATATATATTTCAATACTTGAACTCTTACAATGAATGATCTAAGACATTCTCATTTGTCAGTAACTATTTAAAATTTTAAGTTGTATAAATAGAGGGAAGGGGGACAACAATTTAATTCAATTCAACAGCATTTATTAAGTACCTATTATGTGCCAGGTACTCTCCTAGGCACTGGGAGCACAAGGACAAAAATAAAAGAGTTATTGCAACTGTGGAACTTAAGTAAATACAAAATTAAACAAAAAGTAATTTGGGGCCCCGGAGAGGAAGAGGGACCACTAACAACTAGGGAAGGATCAGAAAAGGCCTTGTATAGAATGGGTCACAGGATCATAGATCTAAACTGAAAAGGGACCTCAGCGGCCATCTTATCCTATCCCCTAATCTTTATATTTAAGGAAACTGAGGCCCAGGGAGGTTGAGACATGCTCAAGATGATGTAGCTGCTCAACATCAGAGATGGGATTTGAACCCCACTTCTGGTGGCATATTAAGCTGAGCCTTGAAGGGAGCTACAAGTTTCAAGGGGTGGAGGTCAGAAGATAGACTGTTCTAGCCATGGACTACAGACAGAATGTGGGAAGACACAGAGGTAAAAGGTGAAATGTCATGTATAAGGAACAGCAAGTAGGCCGATTTGCTTGGAATGTAGAACTTGTAAATGGAACTATGTAAAATCATAATCAAAAGAGCTATGCAAAATCATAGGGCAGAGAAATATAGTTGAAAGAATTCAAGACCTTGGATTCAAAACCTGGCTTTTCAACTATACTACCTGTGTGACTTTGGGCAAGAACCTCTCTGAGCTTCAGACCTCTACAATTCCTTCCAGAAAGATAGGCTGGGGGGCAGCTAGGTGGTGCAGTGGATAGAGCACCGGCCCTGAAGTCAGGAGGACCTGAGTTCAAATCTGACCTCAGATATATAACACTTACTAGCTGTGTGACTCTGGGCAAGTCACTTAACCCCATTGCCTAACCAAAAAAAAAAAAAAAGGGAAGATAGGCTGGAAACAGGGGAGTTTGTATTTTATCTTAGAGACAATAGGAAGTCTTTGAAACTTCTGGAGCAGGGGAGTAATAAAATTAGACCTATTTCAGAATATCATTTTAGCAGTTGTTTGGATCATGAATTAGAAAATAGAGATCAGAAATGGGGAAGACTATTTGGAGGCTACTGTTATAGGTCAGGTGATGGATAATAAGGGCCTTAACATTAGGGTGGTAGCCATGTGAATGGAGGGAAGGGAATAGATATGTTGTAGGAGGAGAATCAACAAGATTTAGCAACTGATTGGATATGTGGCCTGAGAAAGAGAGTTAAGAACCGAAAATGACACCAAGTTTGTGAATCTAGGTGACTATATAGATGGTGCTACCCTTGAAAAATATAGGGAAGTTAGAAGGATGGATGGATTTTGGGGAAAAGATGAGTTCTACAAAGCAATATTTGGTAAGACAGGAAAGAGCATTGGTTCTGGGGTTACAATACCTTGGTTCAGATTCCGTTTCTGATAATTGCTACCTTGGACAGATCACTTAACCTCTTGGGTTCCAATTTACTCTAAATCTGTACAATGAAAGGGCTGGACATGTAGTGTTTGAGAAGCCATTGATATATTCAATGGACAAGTATAAACAAAGGTGGGACACAGAGCAGTTGTTTCTGCCTTTTGTCCCCACATTGAGAAATCAAGCCCACATACAGCAAATGCTATGAAGCTATTTAAGACAGGTTCTTAGAAACAGAAGCAAGATTCATTGTGTTGAACAGTACAATCCAGCACTTATATTTTTAAGCTTATATTGCACATACTGTTAGAATACCATGGTAAATGTTGTCATGTATTTTCAGGTAAAGACTGACAGTTCAGTCTGTTGAAAAATTTTGCAAATTCTTTTTTATCATTTCATTTTTCAGTCAAAGGTTGATGTTTTAAAAAAGAAAAAGAACATGTAATTTGTTTTCCCTGACTTTTATTTGTTACAGGGATTTTATTTTTCTTCCTAAATAAGGGAAGGGGGTAGAAGGGAGAAAAATTGGATTTTCATTGATTAAAGAAATAAAAATTTAATTTTAAAAAATGGAAAGGAGGACCCAGAAGCAAAGATTCCTATCCCTTTCTGTATATAGAAAATATATTGCTATATTGCACATATAAATTCACCCAGGATATAAACTGACCTGAATTTTTCTGATCAAAAAAAAAAGTTCAGATTTTGACATAAAGATCAAGCAACACTTGTTGGGGTGGAGGGGAAAGAAAGTGAAAAGAACATAATCAAGACAAACTTCCCCCTAGATAGAATACATTGAAGGCAGGGAATGTTTTATTTTTGTCTTTGTATTCCCAGTATCTGTCCTGGTAACTAGCACATAACAGATGCTTAACAAATGTTTATCAATTAATCTAAATAAACAAAAGTAACTTGAGATGTTTTTTAATCATTAGACCACCCAGACAAGTTTTATGCTTTGAAGAGAATATATTTTCTGTGATGGATAATTAATTTTAAATATATCAGACTTACTAGGAAGTTATTTTTTGGTAAGACTATGTTTTGCTAAATCAGGGAAGAGTTATAGATTTAGCAAGGAATCAATCTGATAACTAATCATATTCTTTGATTCAGAATAGCAATGCATGACCGTTTTATGCATATTATAATAATAGTAAATATTTATTTATTCAACAATGCCTGACTTACTTTGTTTACCCTTCCCCTATCCAGCTTTGCAGAGTGATAGGAGATGATGACAGGCAGTGAGGTGAGGAGAGGGACAGCTGGAGCAAGAAACCTTGCTATAGAGGTTGGAGGGGAAGCAGGGGCGATAGTGGCATCAGCCCTCTACCTCTACTGAGTCTGTTTATCTTCCCAGGGGAGGTATACTCCAGGTTAGCTTCTCCCTGGTCCAGCCCAGCCTTACCTTGCTCTTCCCTCCAACCAGCCCCATGATGGCCTCACTATTTGTTTTATGGTCTTTATCTCTCTCCCAAGAGGCATATTCCCCCATGTCCTGTGATTTTTCCAAACCTCTTTTTACTAGAATTGTCTTTAAAAGTTGATTTAAGATGTTTCTGTGTCACTTTTTGTGAAGCTTGTGCCAGGCGTCAGAAAGCTAGTTGTGGTTCTAGGAATCAGAATGGTGAAGAAAAATTATTTATTTAGCCTGAAGGAGAGAAGATTTAGAGGGAAGACTGTTATTTTCAAGTCCTTGGAAAACCATTATATAGAATAAGGATTAGACTTGTTATGCTTGGGTTTAGAGGGCAAAACCAGCAGTAATTGATGGAAGGTAGATTTCTTCTTTAATAAAAGGGAAAACATCCTCATAATTAGATTTGTCCAGAAGTGAAACGGGATGTAGAAATTCAATCAGTTGGGGATGTTGTAATGAGCATTATTACTTTGGTATAGGTTCTACTAGATGACCTCTGAGGTCCCTTTTAGACCTAAATCTATGTTCCCAGAAACCTTTCATATAAAAAGCAAATGGTCACTTGTATAATACACAAAACCTGTTGTTTCTTTCTTCAGCATGCGCAGCTGAGTGGGATCCACTCTGGTCCTTTAGAAGAAAGCCTGTTTCTGGATCGCTCTGAAAGACTTTGCCATGGGGAAGATCGAGATATTGTTTTAAAGAAGTGTTCCCCCCACATAAAAATAGCTGATATGCCTTTACATTCTCCTCTGTCCAAATACCAAAGTACTGTCATTTCTCATGGATACAGGCGACAACTGATATGAAAAAAAGAATGAAATTATAGTGTTCAAATCAGTCTGCTTTTTCTGTCATATTTTAATTTTCATTGATATTTTATAGTATTTGTCTTCATTGTATTAACTTATGAATTATGCATGGTGGGAAGGAGTTAATGTTCTTTTTTTGATGACTTTCTCCCACTTTTAAAAAGATGTATAAAGCTTCATAAAGCCTATTAGCCTAAAGCAGGGATAGGGACCCTTTCATAAGGCCAATACTCATAAAATGAAGGCTCCAGGAGGAAACAGGTCTTACAAAGGGATACTCTAGGTTGAAAAGACATCAAGAGTGGTGGATGTTTTGGACCAAGGAGGCCTTGGGAGCTGAGAGAAGTTTCTAGGATGAGTCAGCACCGTTCAGAAGTTTGGGAGCCAGGAACAGGGTCATGGGTGTGTGTGTGTGTGTGTGTGTGTGTGTGTGTGTGTGTGTGTGTACATATAAATATTTATGTATATGCTACTCCTATTAATCCATTGCTCAAAAGCCTTCAGTGCCTTCATATTTCCTACTGAATTTAAAAAAATAGACTAATGCTCCCTTCTCCTTTCTACCCCTTAAGTCACCCCTAACTTCCTTCAAAGTTTAGATTGGGTACTGGCTCCTAAATTATCTTCCTCCACTCCTTCCAACTCGTTGTTAGTGGAGCAGTAGACAACATATTAGGCCTGGGGGAAGACCTTAGTTCAACCAGACATTTACAAAATAGTTCCTAATTACTGTTTTAATTTCCTCTTCCTTGGTGGTGGATTCACTCTTTTCATTTTTGATACTGGTAATTTGGTTTTCTTCTTTCTTTTTTTAATTAAATTAACCAAAGGTTTATCTATTTTATTGGTTTTTTCATAAAACCACCTCTTAGTTTTATTTATTAGTTCAATAGTTTTCTTAATTTCAATTTTATTAATCTCTCCTTTGGTTTTCAATATTTCTAATTTGGTATTTAATTGAGGATTTTTAATTTGTTCTTTTTCTAGTTTTTTTACTTGCATACCCAATTCATTGATCTCCTCTTTCTCTATTTTATTCATGTAACCATTTAGAGATATAAAACTTCCCCTAAGAACTGCTTCCACTGCATCCCGTAAGTTTTGGTATGTTGTCTTATTATTTTCATTCTCTTGAATGAAGTTATTGATTGCTTCTATGATTTGTTGTTTGACCCATTCATTCTTTAGGATTAGATAATTTCGTTTCCAATTTTTAACCTATCTTTCCATGGCCCTTATTACATATAATTTTTATTGCATCATGCTCTGAAAAGGATGCATTTAATATTTCTGCTTTTCTGCATTGCATTATGAGGTTTTTATGCCCTAGTACTTGGTCAATTTTTGTGTATGTGCCATCTACCACTGAGAAAAAAATATATTCATTTCTATTCCCATTCAGTTTTCTCCAGAGGTCTACTACCATATCTAACTTTTCTAAAATTCTATTCACCTCCTTAACTTTCTTCTTTATTCTGTGGTTAGATTTATCTAGTTCAGAGACACAGAGGTTGAGGTCCCCCACTAGTATAGTTTTGCTGTCTATTTCTTCCTGTAACTCCTTGAACTTCTCCTCTGAGAACTTGGATGCTATACCACTTGGTGCATACATGTTTAGCAATGATATTACTTCATTGTCTATGGTGCCTTTTAGCAGGATGTAGTTTCCTTCCTTATCTCTTTTAATAAGATCTATTTTTGCTTTTGCTTTGTCTAAAATCAGGATTGCTAGCCCTGCTATTTTTTTACTTCAGCTGAAGCATAATATATTCTATTCCAGCCTTTTACCTTTACCCTGTGTGTCCCTCTGTTTCAAATGTGTTTCTTGTAAACAACATATTTAGGATTATGGTTTTTAATCCATTCTGCTATCCCCTTCTGTTTTATGGGAGAGTTCATTCCATTCACATCAACCATTATGATTACTACCTGTGGCTTTCTCTCTATCCTATTTCCCCCTGCTGCTTATGCATTTCTTTCTCCTTTCTCCCTTTCCCTCCTCACTAGTGTTTTGCTTTTGACCACCGCCTCCCTCAGTCCCTCCTCCCTTCTATTAGTCTCCTCCCTTTTCTTCCCCTTTACCCTTACTACTTCTTTCCTTCCTTTTATCCTCCCTCCCTTTTCTTTCCCCTTTTCTCTCCTACTGACTGTAGGGCAAGTTAGATTTCTATACCTAACTGATTGTTATTCCCTCCTTGAGCCAAATCTGATGAGAGTAAAGTTGAAACAATGCTCATTTCCTTCCCTTCTTTCCCTCTACTGTAATAGGTTTTTGTGCCTTTCCTGTAACATAATTTACTCTTGTCTGTCTCCTCCTTTCCTTTTCTCCCAGTATAGTCCCTTAATTAGATCAGATTAATCCACTTACTTAAATCCATTTATTCCACTTAGATTTTTTTTTATCATTACATCAAAGTCAACTTATACCCACCCCCTCTATGTATACCCCTATAAAATGGTATAATAGCAATTACAGTTCTCAAGAGTTACAAGTGTCATCTTCCCTTGTAGGGATGTAAACAGTTTGCCCTTATTAATAACATGTTGTTTTTTCCTGTCCTGTTTACTTTTTTATGTCTTTCTTGAGTCTTGTATTTGAAGATCAAATTTTCTATTGAGCTCTGGTCTTTTTTTTGTTTGTTTGTTTGTTTTTGGTTTTGCTTTTTTAGGCAATTGGGGTTAAGTGACATGCCCAGAGTCACACAGATGGTAAGTGTCAAGTGTTTGGTCTGAGGCCAGATTTGAACTCAGGTCCTCCTGACTTCAGGGCTGGTACTCTATTCACTGTGCCACCTGGCTGCCCCGAGCTCGGGTCTTTTTATCAGGAAGGTTTGAAAGTCCCCTATTTCATTGAATGTCCATCTCCTCCCCCGAAAGATTATGCTCGTTTTTGCTGGGTAGTTGATCCTTGGTTGTAATCCAATCTCCTTTGCCTTGTGGAATATTGTATTCCACACCCTATGATCTTTTAATGTAGAAGCTGCAAGGTCCTGTGTAATCCTGACTGTGGTTCCTTGATATTTAAATTGTTTCTTTCTGGCTGCTTGCAGTGTTTTCTCTTTGACCTGGTAATTTTGGAATTTGGCTACTATATTCCTTGGCGTTTTCAATTTGGGATCTCTTTCAGGAGGTGATCAGTAGATTCTTTCTATGGCTATTTTTTTTTTTTTAGGCAATTGGGGTTAAGTGACTTGCCCAGGGTCACACAGCTAGTCAGTATCAAGTGCTTTGGTCTGAGGCAGGATTTGAAGTCAGGTTCTCCTGACTTCAGGGCCGGTGCTTTAGCTACTGAGCTACCTAGTTGCCCCCCTTTCTATGGCTATTTTACCCTGTAGTTCTAGGACCTCAGGGCAGTTTTCCTTGATGATTTCCTGAAAGATGCTGTCCAGGCTGTTTTTTTTTCATCATGGTTTTCAGGTAGACCAATAATTTTTTTAAAAAATGTTTTATTAATTTATTTTTATTTATCAACAATCACTTCCTTCAATAAGTTTTAAGTTTAAAAATTTCCTCCCCCTCACTGCCCACCTCCCTCCCCAAGACGGCCTGCAATCTGATATAGGATCTACATATACATTCCTATTAAACATATTTTCACATTAGTGATGTTGTAAGGAAGAATTAGAACCAACAGGAGGAACCACCAGAAAGAGGAAACAAAACAAAACAGAAGAAAATCTGCATTCAAACTCCATAGTTCTTTCTTTGGATGTGGATAGCATTTTCATTGTGAGATATTTGGAGATTTCTTAGATCCTTGCATTGCTGAGAAGGGCTAAGTCTATCAACATTAGTCATCGTACAACATGGCTGTTACTATGTGTAAAGTTCTCCTGGTTCTGCTCACTTCACTCAGCATTAGTCCTTACAAGTCTTTCCAGTAGATCAATAGTTTTTAAATTGTCTCTCCTGGATTTATTTTCCAGGTCAGTTGCTTTACCAATGAGGTATTTTACGTTTTCATCTATTTTTTCATCCTTTTGTTTCTGTTTGATTGCTTCTCACTCTCTCACAGAGTCATTAACTTCCACTTGCCCGATTCTAATTTTTAACAAATTGTTTTCTTCCATTAGATTTTGTACCTCCTTCTCTAGGATAAATTTCTGGCAGCTTCCCTGGTGTTGGGCTGGAATCAACAACACTGGAGCTCTAGGGATAGGGGTGGGTAGTCCGGCCTCTGGAGGTTTCCTGCTTACCCAGGCCTTTCACTTTCTTTGGCTCCTTGCAGATGGATGTTTCACTGCTGCGGGATGTTTCTCCACCTGGGGCTTTAGGTCTCCTTGGAGCTGCACTTCCCAGAGTTTTGCTGAGGCCCTGGGTGACTTGGCTGTGGGAGAATGCTGTGGCACATGGTGGTTTTCTGAGCTGGTTTCCCTGCCTCTACTGAGGCACTCATGGGTCCTGGTGTTGATGCTTGACTGCTCCACCACCTCAGGTTCAGGATCTCCCCTGGGATGCTGAGATAGGGCTTTCCGCTAGCTTGCTGGGACATCTCCCTTCTGTATTGCTCCTCCTCCCCCAGGGCAAGAGGGGCCTTTCCCATTAATCCTTCAAACTTCCTTAACTACTGGACTGCTGCACCTGCCTTTCTGCTGGTTCAGCTATTCCAGGGTTTTTCCTGAGGCAATATTTTCTGGGCTTTCAGAGGTTAATAAGGAATGATGAGAGAGATTTACTTTCTACTCCATCATCTTGGCTCCCAGGAAGCAAAATTCATCAAAATGTATATTCCTTGAGGGTACACATGGTTTTGTTTCCTAGTACATAGTAGGCATATAATGTTTGTTGAATTCAAGACTGTCCACAATCTACCTTTCCAATCTCTCTTGGATACTACATTGTCTAAACAAAGTAGACTATTCCCTTTCTCTCCATGCCTGGAATGACCTTCTCTTACTCCCAGCTCTTAAGATTTAAGTCATAGTCATTCTTCAAAATCCTTCAATTCATCTCCATGAAACCTTTTCTGATTTCCTTGCTCCAAAGTGACACCTTTAAACTCCATAGTACT